ATATCGTCTGATATCGTCTGATATCGTCCAGCTTCTGAAGTATTGTTGTTGTGTTGTACTCATTCCCAACAGATACACAAAGCTCAACATTTCACAGTTTATAGAAACGTTTAACGGTTTCTATAAATAAAGACAGAATTTATCGGTTTACCAAACATTAATAATTAAAGATTAAAGAAGCAGAAACCAGTTGACACGCAGTAAACCATCACAGCTCTGGGATCAGCTGTTGTTCACTCGATCACAAACTAACACAAACCAGGTGAGTCCACAGGTGAGCTGTCCGACCAATCACAGCCTGTGTTCACTTCAGCTCGCTGTCACTGACGGCTTCCGAACAAACAGCAGGGAGGAGAAAACACTGAATTTATCTAAAAAAGAAGCCAATTAAGTCTGAAAGATTTTTAACAACGATTAAAAAATACATAATACAGAAAACTGTAAAAAGTTGTCTCTGATCAGTCTTATAGTCATTAAATATATTTTAAAAGGTGTTGGATTCTAGCAATAATATAATATAATATAATATAATAATAAAAATAATAATAATGTAATAATAATAATATAATATAATAATAATGTAATATAATAATATAATATAATAATAATGTAATAATAATAATATAATATAATAGTAATAATATAATAATGTAATAATAATAACAATAATAATAATTTTTGGGAAATATTTCTTGGAAAAGGCAAAAAGATTTGTGTTTATTTGTTTTGTAATTCCCTGAATAAAAGTAAAGGTTGTTGGTACAGTTTAATTAAAGTTGTTTAAAAAGCTAGAAACTCAAATAAACAGACTCAAACCAACATATCCTAAAGAAAGGACATTAGTGTTCTTATACACCGGATAAATCACAACATTTGGTTCAATTAATCAATAAAACACCGTTAACACTCGTTAATAACGTTATTTAGCTACTACGGAAGCCCATTTACGTCAAAATGACAGAAAAAAAGGATTTTGTAAGTAATTATAATGACAAACTTACTCAAAATAAAGACTTAATATCTCAAAATACTGATTTTTTTTCTCTTTCTTTGAGAATCTAAATAATTATTTTGAAAAACTTAATTATTTTGAGATAATATGTCGAAATATTTGAGATATTAAGTCATTATTTTGAGATATTAAGACATTATTTGAGATATTAAGTCGAAATATTGAAAAAGTTTCATTATTTTAAGATAATTTCTCATTATTTGAGATATTAAGACATTATTGAGATATATAATGGTTTCATTTATCTGGCATATTAAAGTCGAAATATTTGAAAAAGTTGCATGTATTTTAAGATAATTTCTCCACAAAGCTTATTTAAGATTAATTTCTTCATTATTTAGATATTATAGCCATTTCGCATGATAGACTTTAAAATACATTATATTCGTAGTATAATAAGTCATTTATTTTGGCCCATATTAACGGGGTCGAAATATGCTTCGACACAAAGTTTTAATTATTTTTAAATAGAATAATTTTTCATTATTTGAGATAATAAGTCATTATTTTGAGATAATAAGTCATTATTTGGCATATTAAGTCCTTATCTTAATAAATGTTGTGAGTGTAATAACTCACAGGATCACTGTTTCCACTCACACTGGCGGAAATGTTCTTCCATACGATAAGTTAAAACAGTCAGCGATGACTGTGGTGAAATAAACTGCTTTTATTTGTCTCATTTATGGGCCGAATTCACCACAAGACCAACAAGTGTTAAATAAACATCTCAGCTGAAGTTACCGGTGATAAATACCCGTGATAATCAGTAACGCGGCTGTTAAACACCGTATATTCTGACTGGGCTTCGGCGGGACGCGCTCGGCGGCTGACAGCGACGTAACATAGTAAACAAGCCAAGTTAGCCGCTCGCTGCTAACGACGCTAACGACGCATCGGAAACGGACAACAAGAGGCAACAACAGTGTCTGCGAACATTAAATATATCGCTCAAACGCGGGAGACGTTGTCTTGTTCCGCCGTGGTCCGCCCTGAACGCACCCGCTGAGCACAGAGAGCCGTGTAGAGGCAGCAGATAACGTTATCCTGCCCGGGCAAGGCCTCTCTTCCTCCGGGCAGCTCTCCTCCTCCTCCCGCCGCCTCACACTCACCCTGGTCGAGGTGATGTCCATCATGACCTCCTGGAAGGCGGCTGTCTCCTCGGCCTGTCGCTGGGTGTGCAGCGCTATCTTCTCGCTGAACTTTCGGGGGTTGGAAGCCCCGGACCCGGAGCCCGAGGTGGGTCCGGGTCCGGGTCCACAGCCGCCTGTACCCGTCGCAGACATCTTCACCGAGCGGACGGGACGACTTGACGTAGTGGAACGATTTCTCTCCAGAGAGTCGCGGGGCGGTGAGGAGGTCTCACTCCGCGGCGACTTCTGGGGACCGTGAATGTCAGCCAGTGTGCGCTCTCCTGTTAGCAGATGCAACACTGTGAAGTATGGAAGCCCATTAGTGCCAATGTGACAGTCATTATAACGATAAAGTTTACTTTTATTTTAAAAAAAGGCTTAGTATCTCATAATAACGTCTTAATATCTCAAAATAACGACTTAATATCTCAAAATATTGACTTAATATCTCATTAAAGTTACTTA